TATAAAGTTGGTTGGAAAATAATTGTCTTATTAGACCATTATTTTATTAAATAGATTGAGGAAGATATAGTAGGTATAAATGGACAAATTTTTGGGTGGATTAGATTAGTGATAATGGCATTGTCTGGAACCCATTGCTTCCAGCTTTCATTTTCGGCAAGTATCCTCCAAGCTGGAAATCAATTAAAGAAATTAATTGCTTTGTCATTTTCCAACAACAATATCCATTTTTATAATAAAATAGAATGTGACCTTATGATTCCATTTAAATGGCAGCAAATATCACTGATTGTTCTCAACGAAACTTTTGGTTCTCGGTTCCAATGATCTGGACGACCGTTGAGAAATAGTAACGGTGGAGATGTTCCCAACAACAAGGCGACCAATATATCTCGGAAGTGACTCTATCCATCGGCAAACAAAGGAGATCGGGGAAGTTGAAGCTTGCGATGGCCGAAACTTCTCTTGTAGATTTACGATTATCCAAGGAGTTTCTTGATGATTGGAGTCCGTATTCTTGACGATGAGACCAAGATGCTTAAGTGGTGGAGTTACGGGTTAGACCGACAACCGGCGACGGCGACCATCGTGGTGGTCAACGCGTTTGGCTGTTGGTCGTTGAAGCTTTCCTGCTTCACTTTGAGAACACGGTAAAGCTTAAAAAAAAATTGAATATATTAAATGTGTTGAAGTATAAAAGTTAAGCATTTGTTCAGAGCTCACGTGATTTGAAAGAATTATTGATAAAGTGAAAAAAAGGGTAAATTACTAGGTGAATCATCCAAGTTTAGTAAAAGCTAACCTTGTTTTCTAGTTTCCATATTGTTATGATTATGACATAATGGTTTCAATAAGATCAATTTAGTCCTTGATTTTAGTAATTGAATATATATAGTGGCTCCATAAGTTTTTAGTTTTATCAATTTTGTTTCCAAATTTTTAATTAGATTCTAATAAGTTATTTTCTTATGGCAAGGAAAATTATTGGAAGTCGTATTTTTACGATAAATTATCCGTGTTCGTTAGAAAAAGATTGGAAGCTAGAAATCAAGTTGGTGAGCTGGAATTTAAGACTAATATTAGGGGTTTTGTTGATGTTCTGATTTTGAGGTTCGTTTCGCCAAATTCAAACCCGGTAAGTTGTTTTTCACTGATTAATCATCCGATTCGATCCATTTTTCGGAATTAAGCCTCGTTTTTTATGAAATTTATATTGATATGTATCTGAGGAATTATTGGAAGTTGAATTGAAGATCAAAGGCGTTCGAATGGAATTTTTATGGTCGATCAGTATTGCACGGAAATCGAGGTAATACTTTACTACCTCTTTATGCTTTATGAAACATGTTGATATTGGTAAATGCATGAATAAGATAATGTTAGTTTTATTTGGAAATTATGGATAACCGGTTTTAATCCTATGAGAGTTTGTGAAGGAATCATTTCAAAATCAAAGAATGTTTGGGAAAGCAATTGATCATAGGATCTCTAAATTATAATTATTTTCGTTAAGAGCTAATATTGAAATTATCTAGTTAAGAAATTACGAAAATGCCCTTGAGGGATAAAATAGTCTGAATTGACCCTGAATGAGAGAGTACTTTGAGGATTTGTACTTAACTCGATTAAGTACGAATTTAATTGTTAAGATCCTGTCTTTGTACAGAAAAATTTATAATATTCCGTTTGTAAAATCTGAGAAGACACTTGACCCGAAAATATTCGAATAAGGAGTAAATATTTGAAGAGTAATTTATCGGAGGTATTCTGCTGACAGAATTGTTCGAAAGGACTGAAGTAAATGATAAGATAGAATTAAATAATAAGACCGGATGGAAGGAAATGATTGAAATATTCTAGAATTATAAAATGACCAAATTACCCCTGGAATGGAAATGACTCAAGAATGTCACCAAGCTCAGGAATGAATGGATATACTCAAGCTTTGAAATGAATAGAAAAAATGTTAAGCACCAAAATGACCAAAATGCCCTTATGACCTAGAATAAGTAAATGTCTTGGATTAATTAAGAAATCCAAATAAACATGGATGTTGTGCTACCGGTAAAAGTTGTGGAACGCAACTTAAGTGATTAACCCACGTTAGTACTATATCATTACCTGAATGATATAAGTATCACTTGAATGTTTGTTCATCTTCTCAAATTTGGATCGATGATAATTCTGGAAGTACTTGGCGCATCTCAACTCTAGAGCGCATACAGTACTAATAAGTGGGTAGTCGTTAGTCAAATCAACCACGAATACCAGAATGACTTTATTATATGAATAAATTGAAATGAAATGAAGTACAACCTGTATTTGAAATTCAGAAACGTCTGAATTATTCTGGAAAACTTTAAAGTAATCGGGATAGACTTGCTTACCAACGAACTAAGTAACATCAATGACTAAGGATTAAATAGGTGATTTGATGAGTTTGGAAATACTGTTGAACTTACATGATGAATTGTCATTATGGGTTATGAGCCATGGATCAAGTACGTCAGTATTTCCTGATATTGTTGAAACATGGAAATGAAATAAAGACCTTTGGAAGATTTATTCAGTGATGATTATGGGGATGATCTATGGATCTGCACTATGGTATTAAAGAGTGAATGCACTGGAAGGATAATGAATTGACTTGTTGACATGCATCAGTTTGAGAGTTGTGTAACTCGAGTTGTTTGATAATATGATCGATAGTCGTAGATTGTAAATGACTTGAATCTTCGATTCTATATTTCATCTAAAATCACTTCGGTCATGTTTGAAAAAAAAAACAAGTAACGCAGATGGAAAAGATTCTGAATATCTCATTTGGTTTAATTGGGCTGAAATCCTATGAATTTAAAGTATATTCCTGAATACCCTTGATTGTTTGGGTAATGGAATCACTCGCAGTAAATCTGAATTTAGAATTATTATGTATAAAGGTTCCTGAACGTTTTCCTAAAGCACACGAAAATATAGTGGGATTCTAATGTATCAACATTAAATGTCTGGCTAGATCGGTTAGTAATCGATTCTCCTCAACAGGACCTTGTTCCAGGAATTCGTTCAAATTTCATAAGTTTCATGTTATCCAAAATGATAACTACAATGGCCTCTGGAAATACTTGGATTCTCTAGTGTGTTCCCTACTTATTACTGAACTCTTTTATTGGTTTTAATATGTGGTACACCGAATTCATTGGTTATTGTTTTATGGATGCACCAATTTTATGTAACAATTTATGGAATATGGATGCTATCTAATTTTTGTTTTGAAATGGTATATGATTACCATGTTTTTGGATTTATGGAATTTATGTCACGGTGCAATTGAATTTTGGAATTGAATTACGATGGAATAGCTCTGATCAAGCTAAATGGGCCTAATGTGACTCTTGAGGGCCCCAAGATGTTTCATTAGGTCGGTTTTCCTTTGCTGTGTGCTTAGGGTAAACTATATGGACTTATTGACTTGGGCTTAAGGATACAAGCTTCATAGCCTATCCTTAAGTCGGCTTTCTTTTTGCTATGTGCATAAAGTAAGCTATATGGAAAATAATTTTTGGGAACTACTGATGGTGTACCAGAAAAGGGTTTAAACTATGATTTTCAAAAGTTAAACTCTTTTACGAAATTGTGAGATTTACTGGACTATGATTTGTACCTATTATGATTTTATTATACAGTTGGAACACACTAGACATCCTATTCGATCTCCTGAAAATGTCATACTTTGAAAGGTTTCTTATGAATTGAGATTCATGGTTTATACTCGATGAACTTCTAAGGGAACCCCAAATTATTCTGCAAGTTGGTATACGTATGATTCAATAAGGAAATTATATGGCTTTCCATTTATCTACATGTCATGTAGCATCATCTGGTAGTTCTGTATTACTGAGCTTTCCAAAGCTCACTCTATTACTCACATTTTCAGGTTAAAACAATTGTACCAGTGCATCTATCGACTTCAGTAAAGGAGTTCTTCCGGCGTGGTTGCAGAGTATGGTACTTGTGATTAGGGGGCATGTAATTGTATTTTGATTTATATACGAGTTTGGAAATCTGTTTTATTTTTAAATAGTGATAAATGATTTTATAAGTTACATGTTATGATAAAAAAGTTTTAAAATTTCCACTATTTTTACGGTGGGTCGCTCCGGTGGCCCTAATGTGACTTCCCAAATCGGATCGGGCTACCCGCATCGGTTTGGGGTGTTACAATGTCCGAAGGGAGAATATATTTCTTTAAATCCTAGACGACAATGCATGTCCCAAAACATACAGGGAGGTGACAACATAGATAGGGTCTGTGTCAGTTGGGTTCATGTTGAGGAGGCCCATAACAGAATTTAGCTGAGGTTGTTAGGCCTTTGACTATTTTGGAATTGTTTTGTATATTAGAAGTTTTGGGTTCAAGTCTTGTAATGGATTAGAGTTAGGGATCAGCATGAGACTCGAACATGATGGGTTTCAACTTGATCCGTCATGATTAGGTCGGGTCAAGTTTAGATTTAGGGTGAAAATACTCGATCCGACCCAACCCAATCCGAAAATTAATGTAAAATTATCTTATATATTTAGAGATAATTACAATAATAATCTTCTATATATTAATTTTTCAATTGGATCACTATTTTTATCGAATAGAAATATTTTTTTAATAAAATATATTTATTTCAGGTTGAGTCAGATTGAGTTAGGGTTTGATCTCAAAAAATCGAGTCATATTCGAATCAGATGAAGTTACCTCTAAACTCGAATCGGGTCATAGCATGCTCTTGACAACCAATTCAACCAGCCAAAATTTAAAACCCTTTATTACCATTAAATCCATTACAAAACAAAAGGTCGTTTTCATCGGTTAGACGAAGCAACTACGTAATTAGATGTACAATTAAAGAATTAAATTGAGAGCATTTATGGTATTCGAACCACAAAACGTATGCATGTATATATATATATATATATATTCCTCTTCATCTTCCATGATCACCAAACCATTGATTTTCAGTATGCAGCAAGCGATTCCATACAAATCATGGCCTCTGCCATGCATGGACACGGCTTCTCGATGCGCCGCCTCAACGGCAACCGGTCACAGCGACAATGACGACAACAACAACAACCTCGCGGCACGACCGAGCAGCAAAGAAATGCTCGACATCGTATCGGAGAACGCGGTGATCGTGTTCTCGAGGAAGGGTTGTTGCATGAGCCATGTGGTGAGGCGTTTGCTGCTGGCGTTAGGAGTAAACCCTGCGGTTTTCGAGATTGACGAGACGGATGAGTCCGGCGTTGTGAATGAACTGGGGATGGTTTTTGATCAAGGGAAGCATGGGAAGGAGGGTCAAACGGTGCAGTTTCCGGCCGTGTTCATCGGCGGGAGATTGTTTGGGGGATTGGATAGAGTTATGGCTACTCATATTAGTGGAGAGTTGGTTCCTGTGTTGAAAGATGCTGGGGCTTTGTGGCTTTAATTCCATTCATCACATTATCTTCTTCCTTGATTTGTTGAATTCAAACGAGACTGAGACGTTAATCCTGTAAGGATGCTAATGAATTTCCAGAAACTGAATTAATCCCCAAATACTGACCGTTACCAGGCTTTCATGCTATCCATGTTTAATTATTTAGAGCAAGACCTAAACTATTAGTTTTGATATGTTTTAGTATCTAAATTTTAATTTTTTTCAAAATCATACCTAACGTTTATCTCGCATGCACTATAATTTTTTAGGGGTAAATTACATCATTCATCACTTAATTATCTTTTCACTCATATTTTGGTATTAAAGTTTAAAATTTTTCAATTTAACTACTCAACTTTCAAATTACTCCTATTTTAATCATTTTTATTAATAATTTTAGTGACATGCCATTTTTCATTATTATTTTATTAATATATAATTAAAATTTAAAAGTTATAGTGATTAAATTATGAGTAATTTGAAAGTTAAGTAATTAAATTAAAAAAAATTAAATTTAGTGATCAAAATAGGAGCGAGAAGATAGTTGAGTGAAGAATGATGCAAATTACCCATAAAAAAGATGCCACGTGTAAATCACCTATTAAATTTTTAATGGCGAGATACTAAAGCGAAACAAAAACTAAACGTTAGCTATGATTTAAAAAAATTGAAAGTCTAGGTATTAAAACTGACCAAAACTGATAGTTTAAGAATTAAACACATAAATTATCCAATTAATTAATTTAATATAGGGTAAAATCCATTAAAGGTCATTGAACTATTTCAAAATTTTCTTTTTGATCACTAAACTTCGAAGTATTAGAATATCATCTTCAAACGTATCAATTCAAAGTTTCAAAGTGTTGTAAAAAATCTATATTACGTTACAAATAGTAATAAATTCGGAAAAAAATTAATACCCATTTTATAATAATTTGATAAAATTTAATGACCGTTTATGATTATTTAAAAAATTTAATGATCATTTTATAATATTTAAATTCTCATTTACTATAAAATCATTTAAACATAACTAAATTACCTCTACTATGTTCACCCTTATTTTTATTTACGTGTCAAAAGATGAGATGTTTGGCTGTTGCAACACATGGATTTGACTGAACAACTAATGCTTATTAGGTGAGCACGTGGGCAGATTGAGTGGGCAGATTGAGTGGGCACGAGATGCAATAAAATTTTATATTTTTCATATAATTTAAAATAATTCTATAAATTTAATATTTTAAAATTTTAATATAATTTCTTAAAATTTATATTTTAAAATATAAAATTATACTTGAATCTATGAGTTGTGGCCATGAAAGCGACGAGCTAGCAAACCTCACAAGTGTGTGTGTGTGTGACCATTGTGGATATTTCTTGTAATAGATCATCGGGTACACCATCAATTTTTATTTTGGTAAAATTATTCCTTTAATCCTCAAAGTTATAGACCTTTTAGTTAATAAAACGGTAAATTTTTGCTCTGGTCCCCTAATTTGGTAAAAGTTAGTTTCGAAAAAAGACAATGTTAAATATAAAATTTTTATCAAAAATTAATTAAATGACCAAATCAAAAACACAAAAATAAATTGATAATAATCCTCAAAGTTCTAGACATTTTAGTTAATAAAACGGTAAATTTTTGCTTTGGTCCCCTAATTTGGTAAAAGTTAGTTTCGAAACAAGACAATGTTAAATATAATTTTTCATCAAAAATTAATTAAATGACCAAATCAAAAGCACAAAAATAAGTTGATAATTCATCTGCAAACAAGTCATAGGGTCTTTGAAAAATGTCTTTGCACGTCTTCATTTGACTTTGAATTCGAAACTATAAGATTATTTTGGATAAACTATATGATTAATCAATTTTGTTTAAGCTTTATACGCTCATCGCTGAGTTCAAAAACATAATATTTGGTCATTTTCGTTTTTATTTAATTAAAATGATATCATTGAAGGTTAATTGTCGTTATACTTTTAACATGTTGCTGATGTGGACCTATTTAATGTTTTATTGACCAATTTGTTACTTTTAAAATTTGGTGAGAAAAATGAAAACTTACTCATTTGTGTGGTTTATCATTTTTAATTTTATAAATTCAATATGGACGTAAGTAATCCGTTAAAGGTGTAATGACAGTTAACCCTCAATGATCATATCTTAATTAAATAAAAACAAAAATGACTAAATATTATGTTTTCTAATAGTGGTGAATGAGAAGGATATCTAGAGATATATGTATACTCTGAAATTTGAATTTTTTATATTAGTTGTCAATTTTATCATGGATATCTATCGTGAAATTTTATTTGTGCCTATTTATACGAAAATTTTCAATAATTAATATATATTTATATATATCCACTCTAAAAGATATTTTTGCATTCGCCACTGCCTACTAACAAATGAATCCTCCTCACTAAGTATATCACGTTTTAAAATGGAACTGAAATGTTCAAAACACATTTTAAAGAACAAAGTATACATTGAATAAAAAACCTAATACACTGCTACATGTGGTAAGTATATCACATCTTTGAACAGTTTCCGAAAGTTAAACTTGTCCAAGATTAAAGTTCGATGAAGCATGTGACACATTTACATCTTGTTGTTTACACTGTACAAAGCATCCATTAAAGCGACAAAAAGAAGTGGTTATGGTGAAATCTTTGATATTCTTCCATGGTGAAGAACACTGTAAAATAATTCCTTATTCTTCCCAATTCTTTTGGATAACTACATATTAATTTATTATTTGGAGTATTTATTAGTACCTTGTAATTTATCAAGGAACGAAAGAACCATCATGGACTGCAAAGTGGGGAAGAAGCTGGCTAGGGTTGGCTCTGCTTTGGCCACCTTGATCGAATGCAATGAAGGAAGGATTGTAGAACTCGGCGAGCCCGTTTTGTTGTTGTTGTTCTTGAGATGTTGCGTGCCTTCGTGTCCACTCTGTGCCATTAGGGTGACCTTGATCGAGCCACATTGTCTAGGCTGTGTCTGGTAGAAGACTTTCGAGACGACGAGCTCGCCGTCTTTCTCTTCTTCGTTGTTGCCGAGATGGTACTGGTGCATCACCCAATTTGTTTTCTCCGGCTTCCTTTGCTTCCCATAGCTGGTGTAGAGCACCAGGATTTTCTTGTACCCCTCGACTCTTCTGCCGATGAAAACCGGTCTTGTCTTGCCCGTTTTATGCCACCGCGTCTCGCCGCCTTCCGTGTCGGTGTGGACCTTCCTCCGTTTCCTTGTCCCCGTCGTGTATGCCTTGGAAGGCCGGTGAAAGAAGTGGCGGATCATGCCATCTTTGCTTACTCCTGCACACAATGAACCGGGTTATTGTCAATGTCATTGACTATAATGAAACTAAGATGAAAAATTAGGGTTAGTTGGAGCATATTTCTTCTCTAATATTGCATATGTGACAGGCTAACAGGATTAGTTGGCAGCTTTCTTCAAACAAGGAGAATGGTTAACCATTTTCATCATATCAATTAAGTTTTTCGTAAAAGAATAAATTTGAATTCTCAATGTGTCCTTCCAACTTAAAAATTAATAAGTCTAATGTAATCATTTAACCAACGTTTTTAATGGTTTGACCGTTATTGTGCTGATGTGACAGTTCACGGTGCTGATGTGACGGTCCACATTAGTTGATAACGTGACAAATAATATGACAGATGGGCTAAATTGGTAACTCAAACATGGCAGATAGGCCGCCACGTTAGTATAGTGAGCTGTCACATTAGCAACATTGATCATAGGGTCATATTAAGTTTATTTTCTAAGTTGGAGGTCGAATTGAGAGAGAAAATAATACGAGAGTCACATTAATTTTATTTTCAAAATTACATTAACCTCTAATGCGTTTCTTCCATATAAATATATATAGATAGAGCAGCATATGTATGTATGAAGATCACCTGGCAACTTCTCAGGGTGAGTATAGCAAATCCCATTCTCTCCTTCGATGGTAGGGATAAATTCATCAATAAGAGGATGCAGCTTAGCGTCAGAGCGCACCTTCCCTTCCAAATGTTCAAGAATCTCTTGATCCGTCGGATCAAACTTCACACCAGCAGGTAATCCATGCAAATCATGGATTCCACCCTATAACGCACCCATTTTAATAAAGGTTTTTGCTGGAACATTAAACGCACGTAAACCACATACTAACAATCATTACTTCATGCAAATCAATGATAAGAAAAGAGATAGTGGAAGTGGATGAATGACCTGCTGGTCACGGTATTTGATCTGATGACCGCAAGAAGGGCATGATCTGAGGAGACAATCTTTGTGCCTTTGAGCAATCACATTTCTGTGCGACGATGGAAGGGAGCCTCTGTCGATGGTTTGCACATCACTGCAATCATTGCACCAAGTCATTTCCTTTTGGTTCTATTTTCTTTATCTTTTTGCCATTCCACTGTGGGGGAGGAGATGTTTGGCTTTTACTTTCTTTGTTTTCTTCACTGCTACTCCAAAATATAAGTAATACTATGAGAGGAAGAGTAAAAGCAGGAGAGAGATAATTAGAAAGGAAATAAAGTGGAGAGACAAAAGCTGGCTTCACTCCTCTAAAGCTTTGGTGCTTCAAAGCCTGCTTATCTTGAGGGTTGAGAAGGGAATTAAATTCTCTTTTCACTTTTTACCTAACACTTTGGATTCAAAATGAGGGGATATATAGTGGATGCAGAGTCTCTCGTATTAATCTCGTGTTTATATATATATATATATATATATAACTAGGATTCTAGGGTTTGATATAGTTTAGTATATTCATCCTGTAATTTGTCATTACTTATAATTAAATTCTTCTTTGCTTTTCGTGATTTTTGTGTTTAAGACTTTTATGTAAATAATAATATATTTATTCTTATCTTTCTTTCTTTTTTTTTATTTACGAATGTTTGCCTGTTTTCATCTTTAGTATAATAGTTGTTTGCTTGGAGTACAAGTTATGGTTTTTGCTTGAGTATCAGCATATGGAAAACTTGTAATACAATAAATGTAGTTTTTATGTCTTTTTCGTGTTCATTTGCTTTTGTTAATATGGGGTAAGTATAAGATAA